AGCCCATCAATGCGTGGTGGGCTTGATCTGTGGCCAGTCTCCTGCCGCCTCTGCCCACGCCCGTTTGCGCATCTCCTCTAGATTCCTCTCTGTCTCCAGTCGATCTACAACTGGCCGCAGTCCGCAATGGTGACGGTCTGCTTAGTAGATCCGTTTTGGGAGCCGACCTTCTCGATGGCCTGGACAACCTCAAGACCCTCGACAACCTGGCCGAAGACGACATGCTTGCCGTCCAACCAGGAGGTCTTGACGGTGCAGATGAAGAACTGGGAGCCGTTGGTTCCTGCACGTTTACTTAGTTTCTGATCTTCAAGACACGGAGCAGTGTTCTGAGCGTACCAGGTCCGGCGTTAGCCATGGAGAGGATACCGGGGCCAGTGTGCCTCAGGTTGAAGTTCTCGTCCTCGAACTTCTCGCCGTAGATGCTACAGTGAAGATGCGAAGTCAGTGTATGTCTCACATGCATTTCATGTGGCCAAAGCTTACCTCTCACCTCCGGTACCCTGTGTTATGTCAGCCATGTGTGCTCGCCAGAAGGAGGGTCGTGGGTTTGACGTACGTTGCCGCGGGTGAAGTCACCACCCTGGAGCATGAACTGGGGGATGACGCGGTGGAAGCTGGAGCCCTTGTAGTGGAGGGGCTTGCCGCTCTTGCCGGTGCCCTTCTCGCCGGTGCAGAGAGCGCGGAAGTTCTCAGCGGTCTGTTGGTCATAGTCAGCGACTGCTTCATCTTATCGGTGCCTCGCGGGGAAAGAGGCCTGACGAAGACTCTGCTAGCGGGGTACTCACCTTGGGGACCTGGTCGGCGAAGAGCTCCATGACGATCCTGCCGGCAGGCTGGCCGCCAATGGTGGTGTCGAAGAAAACCTTGGGGTTGGACATGGTGATGGATTTGGGTTGAGTGTGTTGTGAAGAGGGTGTGATGGTGGAGTGTTGTCGATGGGAAGGATGAGGGGCAGCTTTAAAAGATGAGAGAGGCCATGGAGGGGCATAGCTCTTTCCGTAGAGCACAGCACAAGGGTGGGGCCCGAGGCGTGATTGGGCCTCTCGCCGTCGAGGCTGGACGTGCAAGGGCCGCTCGGGCCAGGCTTGGAGGGGTAATTGCGCCATGCCCTCCCCGCATGTCAGTCAGGGCAGACGTAAGGGATCGTCGCCCGAGTACCATCGCCCGAAATCTCTGGCATCGCGATTGCAACAAAGATTGCCTTAGTCCTTGGACCGGCTGGCTTCAGCGACGGGATTCCGTGGCGTCGCGCTGACGAGGCATCGCAGCAGACTGCTGCTGAACGGACCACCGTAGCGCCATTCGACCGGCTCCTCATAGCGAATACGACCCTAAAGTATCCTGTGTAACGTCTGATACGGTCAGCATAAGAGTCACTGGCTGCCCTCACCCGTGATTGTGACTGTTCTAGGGCTCTTTTCCTAACATCACTTTTTGGAGTCATCAAGGCGCACAAACCCGTGTCAAGCGAAACACAAATGTGACAAATGGAATAAGGATTATGGCTGGCCGGTGTGGCGACGGCCTTGTAACTACTGAAGAGAAGATAGAGAAGGTGAAGAACAGACAGCGCTCACGAACGCCGTGCCTCCCGGCTATGCTCTCGGATATACCCAACAAAGAAAAAGCTTCTCACATCGCGCCTACGGCTGCACCAACACATTCATCTCCGCCGATTTCGCAAACTCAGCACGCTCCTGGATATCCTTCGCCTCGGCCTCCTTCCACAGCTGAATGACTTCCTGCTTGCGCGTTTCACTCCTGGGGTGGAACGCCATCTCCCATGGATCTGGCTTGATGATGAGTAAAGAGTTGGACTTGTTAACTGGTACTTCGATGTCTTTGCCGGTAACGGGGTCGACCTTAGCCCTGAGGTTGAAGGCCCACATCAGAGCTCCGCAGCCCGTCACGGTCTCGTCACGGGTGATAGACATGCCTAGACATTGGCGCTGGCCCCAACCGAACGAGGTCATGCCAACGATGTCAGGGTACTTGGTCAACGGCTCCTGGAAGGTCGGCCATCCAGCCTCCAACCATCGCTCGGGGCGGAATTCCTCAGGCTGAGGGTACTTGACGGGGTTTCGGAGGAAAGCCCAGTCGAGAGGAAGAATGCGCGTGCCCTTGGGAATGAAGTATCCCTGGAACCAGTCGTCGGCCTCAGCTTCATGAGCAACACCTGGGATGAAGTTAGTATCAATATGCAAGATGGCTGCTTGTGTGCTTACCAGTAGGTACAGTAGGTTTCCAGCGCATCGTTTCCTTGATACACGCACGAAGGACTGGCAGATTGGGCAAGTCGGCGACGGCAGGAGGCTGGTTACCGCAGACGCGGTCAATCTCCTCTTGGCACTTGACCTGCCACTCGGGGTGGTGTAGCATGCTGATGAGGAAGTAGTAAATCGGTCCGGTGACTGTGAAGATACCGACAAGCGCCATCATACCGATCACGCACGAAGCTTCGTATTCGCCCGAGATGTTTGACTTTTCCGCGGTTTCCAGGTAGTTCTTGGTGAAGCACGATCTTTGCTGACCAACTTCCATACTCTTCTTGGTTTTCTGGAGGCACTCCATAAAGAACGCTTGTTGGTCGTCGTGACGCTTGCGCTCCCGAAGCTTCCAGGGGTTGATCGGCTCGGGCACCCAGTCCCAGAGAGGAGTCAAGACGTTTGTGATTGGCCCGGCGGGTGACATCTGGGTGAGCAGACCCCATGCGCTGGGGGTCAGAGGAACACTGAGCGAAGGATCGTCCCATGTCAATTGGCACATGACCTTAGAGCACATGTCTTCGAGAGAAAAGCTGAAGTCGTCGGGGTTTTCCAAGAGCCTGGCCATCCATCGCTTGGCCTCAAATTCCATAATGCCGTTGTAGCGGACGTTGGTAGCTCCAGTGAGGTAAGAGTGGGTGAACTTCCGCTGACGAGCCCAGTATTCTATTCCAGTTAGCAAACTTCGCCGCGCTCATCGTTGCGAGACTTACGATTCTTTCCCATGAGAGGCAGGTACTCCATCGAGCCGTATGTGCTCTTCGCATCGAACAGCGACTTAATCTCTGGTCGATCAGAATACAGCTTTGCCTTCTTCACAAGCATATCCTCGGCGATCTTCTCATCGGTGATGATGATGAAGTTCGCGCCCAACATCTTGGTGCGGTATATGGGACCGTGAATGTCGGCCCACTCCTTGAATTTCAGCCACATGAACTCAATGGGTAGGTCATGAATGCGTCCAATCCATGGCACCTGCCAGGGACCAGGCATGTTCTGGACATTGTATCGCTTGTCGTACTTGGTGACGGCGTCGACGACTGCGTATACAACAAGGCCAACGACTGCGACGCCTAGGGCGTCGGCTGTGAAGGGATGCATTTCGAGTACGCAAGAGACGGTCGAAGGCGTCTGTAGAAAAGTCGGGACCGGAGGGGTGACTGTCGACTGACTTGCCAAGAGTCTTGACGGGGATGTTGGCGGAGAGAACGGTAACAATCACAAGACCACAGCGTGGGAAGCCTGGTAAATATCACACCACAGGTTTTCGTTGCACTACCACCTGTCCGGCTCCCCAGAGCTTGACTTATGTACAGCCATAGAGGGCCCACTGACGAGACGGGACCGTTTAGGGCACCAGATTCATCGGCGTCTAGATGAACATAGCCGACATGGAACTAAACATCGCTTGGGTGACAGACGGCAGATTCATCCAATAGCCACGGTTGGAAACTACCGATTTCCATAGTGTGCCAGGATGGCGATCTCACTAGCACCCTTGTTGATCTCAGTATCTGTATCCGCCACGGCGGAAGAACAGAAGTCGGTGCTAGCGGGCGCCGACTTACGACATATTGAAGAGCTTGGGGCTGGACTAACATGTATCGGTGCGCCGGGAGAGCACAGAGATCGACATGAACCAAGTTCACTTGCATGAACTCGGGCGTATCGAAACATTTACTCCCTGGTCTTGAGAACTGAACACAGCTGAGGGAGCAACTCCCTAGTGGCTGCGTCCCCATCCGCCGCTTTCTCTAGGTAGGTAATTGTTATTTCCACATTATCAGTCCAAGCATCACCGACAGATAACAAGATCCAAGTCGGCAGCCGGCACATCACCGGGCCGTAAGACCCCTCTACTAATCAACTTGTGCTGCATAGCTTGCAGCATGGGTATGCATCGCTGGCAGCATGGGTGTCACAGTCGCTCCTCGTTCATTCTGGACGTTACTGGTCGAACGCCTCGGTGATGGGGCACAGACGCCAAACTGCATTTCTGAAACCAAGCATCCTCAGTTGTCGTTGCACGGAAAGCGTTCCTTTGGCGGGCGGCCAAGTCCCCCAAAGAAAGGTATCAAACACAGCCAGTCTAGAAGCGATCGTCTCCAATACCTCAAAGTAAAGGAGTCTAAGCGTCATTAGAAGTGCTGGAATATATTTAGCGACGTTACACATCAATCGAATCTCAAGGGCTGCAGTCATCATGTGCCCACGTGGAGCAGCAAGACACAGCCGTGACTCGGCTGATAGGCTAGGAACGCCGCGGACCTGGCATCAGCGTATATGTCCAGCATGGAAACGTTGAACTCGATCGTGTACAAAGATGACTTAGGATGCTGTTGACCGTGCTTGGCCTCCGGAGTTTGTGGGGAACCATAGCGCGCATGCACGGACGCACGCCTGCCGGGAGTTTGGGTTAGCGCGGGGGCTTGCCCATCGTCATCGAGATCGGTCCAAGACCAAAGCAGCCTGTTCCTGACAATCTGCCGCCAAGTGCAATGGTCATTGCATTGTCCAATACCTGCATGCCATAGTATGGCCGCGAAAGTACAATTGCGAGACAGGCCGGCCAGTCGGACGTCCGAGGGTCTTCGGCAAGCCTCACTGGTACCCCAACGGGGAATGCAGGCGGAGGCAACCTTCAGCATGTATGAAAGGCAGGCACGGCTTGTATGAAGGTCGGGTTCGACGATACACCTACCTCGATACGATCATACACACTAAACCGCAGTCATGCCTCACGCTCTTACTTCTCGCGACTCTACGATGGAGTCGAAGCCAATAGGGTCATACCCTAACACTGGCATCGATGTCCTCATTGTTGGTACCGGCCTGGCTGGTCTGGTCGCTGCTCTTGAGTGCACACGCAAGGGCCACAACGTTCGCGTGCTTGAGAGGAATGCAGATATCAACACAGCTGGTGAGCGGCATCCTCAAATTATGCCCTTGACACAAGACTCATAACGTGTTCTAGGTGACATGTACTTCATGGGCCTCAGCGCAACCCGCTTCTTGAAGCACTGGCCTGAATTGCTCAAGGAGTACAAGAAGATTTCGCTCCACAATGCTTGGATCGAGACCTTCAAACACTCGGGCGAAGTTGTCATTGGACCTAAGAAGGTCGCAGATCGCCTTCGTGCGCAGGGACTAGACCCTGACACCCCTCCTGGAGAGTTCCAGATGCGCCCGCTCGTGTACAAGATGTTCGTCAGCGCCGTAGAGAACCTCGGCGTTTCCGTCGAGTTCAACCGCAGGGTTGTGGACTACTTTGAGGACGAGCAAACCGGCAAAGGTGGCTGCACCACTGATGACGGCAAGCGCTACGAGGCGGATGTAGTGATTGCGGCTGACGGTGTTGGATCCAAGAGTCAGAAGCTGGTCGGTGGACAGGTGCGCGCGAGGCCCTCTGGAAGGGCCATGTGGCGTGCTGCCTTCCCCCGAGAAGCTCTCGACAAAGATCCGGAGGTGAAGGAATTCTTCAAAATGATGCCAGGCAACGAGCCAATCGTGAGGACATGGCTTGGGTGAGTCCTTGTAACCCGATGATCATAATTCTGCTAACCCTCATAGTCCCTCCACGTACGCGCTTACCCTGTCTCGCGAGGACGTCATGGTCTGGATCATGAACCACGACGTCACTGGTACTGAGAAGGAGTCGTGGAACAACACAATCGAGAAGGAAGAAGTTCTGGACGGCATGGACACTATGCCTGGTATGGAGACTGTCAAGTGGGCCCCGATCTTCAAGCAACTTGTCGAGACAACCCCGCCAAAGACCATCGTCAACTTCGAGCTCCTCTGGCGCAACCCTCAGCCTAGCTGGACCTCTCCCGGTGCTCGCGTTATTCAGATTGGTGATGCGGCGCACTCCTACCTACCGGCTTCCGGCAATGGTGCGACCCAGGCCATTGAGGATGCCATATCGATAGCCTCATGCCTGCAAGTTGGCGGCAAGGAGAACATTCCTCAGTCTGTTCGTGTACACATCCGCTTCCGGTGAGTTGCTGCCCCTCCATCAATGTGCTCAGCTGCAAGTGCTAACGTAACCTGATAGCTTCATCCGCAACTCCTGTGCCCAGAAGCTTGGCTTCTCCAACGCCGAACTTCTTCAAGACACCGACTGGGACAAGGTCAAGCTTGATCCCCGCCGCGCTGCTCCCAAGCTACCCAAGTGGGTTTGGTCTCACGACCCTGAGGCTTACGTATACGAGAACTACGAGAAGAGTGCGCAGTCGCTGAAGCAGGGCATCGACATGAAGGATGAAGACAAGTTTGAGCCCAACTACCCCAAGGGCTACAAGTATGAGCCATGGAGCATTGAGAAGATCATGGATGACATGAGGGCGGGCGTGCCGATTGATCTTGGAGCTGGTGACTGGGAATGAGCATGGGCATGGATGGGCATAGCCGCGGACTGTACTGCGTGCATTGGCGTTTTGGAAAGGTATTATGGACACTTAACAATGAATGAAACACAATATTATCAACCATAGCATGACACTTTGTTAGCCAAATGCTTGGAAATCGATACACATGAGAGGCGCCTGTTTCGAGGGCTTACGCTGAGAACCTCAACACGCCTTGCCTCTTTGAGACAAGCTTTCTTCTAGCGGGACCTCGGGAGCACCCGCCGCTCTTTGGTCCTCAGCCATCGGTGACAGCGGCCCCTTCTATGTTGCTCATCGCTATCTCTCTAGCATTCCCCTCGCTTTCCCTCTTGTTCAAAACGCTACCGTGGTGTCTGAGCATTGAAGGAAGATCACAGCACAAGCAAATGTTGCGCAAACGAGATGCGCCGATAAAGGAACTGGGTACTTTCCGTTCCTGCTTCGAACTAGCGATTCGCATCCGGGACGTGTACCCATGAACCAAGGATTTCTTCTCGTACCAGACTGAGCTCGCTGGATATACCCGCTTGCCGCCCGTCGTCCTGCAGACTGCAGGTGCAAACGATGAAATCTGAATATCAAACGGAAGCAGGGCAACAACAAAACATTACCCCTTCACACATCCAAGAATGTTCTCACTCAATCGCAATTGCCTACACCCGACATTCCGACATACTTCACCCTAGATAATGTCGCTGCCACATGTACCAGGTTCCTTTCATCAAAACCACTTAGCCGCAAGTCGACATTGCGGACTGCAAATGCATTATCTCAGGCCCGCCACACGCCCCCCGAAGACTGTCTAATTTCTTCTTCCTGTAATCATCATCACGGCTCTCCACCGGACTTCCGAGGGCTGTTGTGATCCGCAGATGGTATTTCGTTATTTGGTCTAGAGTGTGCATGGAAGTCTATGACGCTGCCTAGACGCGCTAGTGCATGCTGCGGGGGCTGTTGAGCATCGCTGTTGCACCGCGGACGGAATTGGGAAATGAGAGGGGTAGAGGGGGCTTATCGAGAGACCTGCGCGGATCTGATTGACAGAGGGGCTTGAAATTGGTGAGGGGTTTGTCGTGGGGTGGAAAGTCGGACATGAGACGCGACCGGACGCGGTCGTTTTGCAAAGCCTAAACTTTGGCAGAAGGATGGGATACTTTTTTGTGTTCCCAACTCGCGTCATCTCGGCTTTGGATCATTTTGAAACCAATATCGAGCTGACCTTCAGGTGTACGAGTGCGGGTGATATCAACAGGTTACGAACGCGCGAACACGTGACCTAAGTGCCCCCATTGACCGTCGCGCTATGCATCCAACGAACATCTGGTATCGCTCAGATAGCAAATCGCATGTTTGCATCCCGTGTGGTTGGTGAAAACTATCCTACAGTTGAGATACCCAGACCACTGGTATCACTCGCTCAAGATTCCGTCCAAACGAATCTGCAACTCCTCCGCCTTTTTGCTATGCATAAACTCTCTCACACCTTCAACCCGCTTCCCATCCTTGCTCAACTTCACAAATAGGACACCCTCAGTCCACCACTCTGTGATCCCACTTTCCAACAATTGCGTTCCCAATTCACCGTCACCATTAACCTTGCCTCCCATCTTGCAGTGCGCGACTACCGTATTTGTGTCTTTTGAAAAGTGCACCGCTCTGCCTCCCTGGCCATCGTCTTCAGGAACTACCTGAAAGTCGCTAAAGATCTCGAAAACCGTCTCGGCATGTTCGCGGAACGGCTGAATCGAACGAGTGGGTAGGTGCAGGTCTGCAGGAAGGGAGGTATGGCTAAAGTCGTGGGTGGCGTACGTTGTTAGGGCTTGAGGGCGAAGCGTCGAGTAGCTCTCTATGAACTTGTTGAACGTCTGAATGTGTGCGCTTGATTCTTGTGACTGCGATGGATAGAGAAGGTATGCGATAGGCGCGAGAGCAGCGATTGCTGCAAGAGTTGCAGTGGCAAAGCGTATCTCCGCGGGTGTGAAGCCCAAGTCTGCCATTTTGTGTTGCTACCAGGATGAATGTGCGATGCTTGTTGCATATGCGTGTCGAGAGTATTTGCAGTCGCTGAGCTTCCGAATGGTCGTTCGCCGGTGTTGTTGGTATGCCGTTTCCTGCTAGATTCTGAGAGCGAGTAAGATCGATCTGACGCGCACTACAGCATCTACCCGGTCGATCGTCCAGCCGTAAATAATCCGACTATGATCTACGGACCCGTCTAATATTGCAGATTCCAGTCACAACTCCGGTGATCAAACTTCAAGCCCCTCATGGCTTGCATTCAGTTGTGTTGAACGCCATCTCTGTGATGCTCCTGCATAATCACCGCAATGTCGGTGTGGTCCTTCACCGACCCGTAGCGCTGTGGAACATCGTGACGAGCCGGCCATTCGCTGTATGGTCCACAATCTCCGCTACTCTTCTTTGGGATCAGCGTAGAAGAGTGGAACTGCATTCTAAAAAGAAGCAACGGTGGGTCTGGGATGCTTGCGGGGCCGGTCGTGCCAGTCTTCGGGCGACGCGTCGACGTGAGTGCATATCATCGCTGCTTCCTCTGCTCTTCTGTGTAGATTGCTCTTTCTGCTTATTCTCAAATCTGAGGCTGAAAACAAGCTCGACCTGCTGCGGTAACACACGTCTTTACGAAGCCAAGCAATCCTTCGACCCTTACAAGCAACCCCGCCATGGCCGCCACAAAAGCCATTCTTGTCACCGGCGCTACTGGTAAGCAAGGCGGTGCTGTACTCGAACAACTCGCATCGCATCCTTCACACGCCGAATATACGCTCTTGGCTGTCACCCGTGATGCCAACTCTGGTTCTGCGAAGAAGATCGTTGAGCGTCATCCTGACGTAAAGTTGGTGCAAGGCAACTTGGACGAGCCCTCCGCGCTCTTTGCATCAGCCAAGGCAACCCTCAAAGAGGCTGGCAAAGAGGAGAAGATCTGGGGTGTCTACTCTGTACAAGTCTCTCTTGGCAAGAATGTCACCCACGAGAGCGAGGTCATACAGGGTAACGCCCTAATTGACGAGTCGATCAAGGAAGGCGTCACACACTTTGTGTATTCCAGCGTCGATCGTGGCGGCAACCAGCGCAGCTTTGAGAACAAGACGCCCATCCCGCATTTCCAGAGCAAGTATGAGATCGAGCAGCACCTTCTCGAGAAGGCTGGCAAAAACGGTGAAAAGATGGGCTGGACGATCCTCCGACCGGTTGCCTTCATGGACAACCTCGCGCCTGGCTTCCCCACCAAGGTGTTCCTCGCAGCCCTCCGCGATACACTGCAGGGCAAGTCCATTCAGTGGGTATCTGTCGAAGACATTGGCCTATTTGGCGCACGAGCGTTCGTCAACAACAAAGAATGGAACGGACGCGCCGAGGGTCTCGCCGGCAGTGAGCTCACCATGGACGAGATGAGTGGATGCTTTGAGCGTGTCATCGGTAGTGCGGTGCCGGCAACCTACGGCATGTTTGGCTCCGCGCTTATGTGGGCCGTTACGGAAGTGAACGTCATGATCAGTTGGTTCGCAGCTGAGGGCTATGGCGCTGATATCAGCAAGTTGAAGAAGGAAGAGCCTAAGCTGTGCGATTTCGAGACTTGGCTGGCGGAGAGGAGTGGATGGAAAGGTCAGGCCATCAAGCGATAGATGATGCTTTCATCCGCTGGCGGGGTTAAGCATCTAGCGTCGGACTTTGGACTTTTCGGGACTTTGACCCCTGTAGGGGATATTGGGGAGTTTTCTACGAATACATGATTATCTATGATACAGCTATAATATTGTCTTGATGCATGTCCTTCCACGAGTGTCTGACTTTATTTTGAGCCTTGCTAAATATACCAGCAGTGGCTGAAGCACCGACGACTTTCCGCACAACACATACATCATGGCCTAATATGTCGATTTGCAAGTCAGTACCGCATGGGCTGTGCTGGGTCTGTAGCTGATATATTCGGATTGTATCGATATCACAAATTGCGAATTTGAAGAATTGTCTTCAGTTTTACGCTTCATTGCTAAAATGCTACACTCCAAAGGCCTTCAAGAGAAGCAATATGGTAAGTACACAGAGGACAAGGGCTATGCAACCCTTTACAAGGAGACCAGGTTCCACAACGCCAGTCCACCAGCAATAACCGGTGTGACCAACCTCAGCCTGTTCCAGCTCGCCCACTTCATAGCAATGTTCTCCGCCTCGCCCAACTCCTTCTCGTTGCTCCTCTCCGCCAACGCCTCGAGCTTGTCGTTCAACGGCTGCATGTTGAGAGCCGAGTGTAGGATAGTCGTCAAGTGCATCACGGCCGCAACACCAAACAACTTCCAGTCGCTGCGAGCGAGCATGCCCTCGCGGTAGACTGAGTAGCCGGCGTAGGCATAACCCAGGAAGCCAAGGGTTGAAATGGGGCGGAAGAATTGGTTGCCGACTGTCCAGCACAGAGGCCACTGGCGGCCTAGAAGTTGTGCGCGCTCCTTGTGGTCGGGGCTGCCTGGGCGGGGGAAGTTGACGAGGAGGGCAGGCACCGTCATGTACGACTGTGTGATGGCATTTCCTGGGATCGTCAGAAGTGAAATTGGGAACTACGGGAGTCCGGTCTTACCAGCAAGAATGAAGGAGAATGTGATGCAGGTTCCTGCAACGCCCTTTACGATGGTGTTGTCCGACATCTTGAGAGTGTATTTTGGTACAGGTGTGGAATTGAGGTTCAATTGCTTTGGAGTATGGAAGGAGGGATGAATGAACGCGTCCACATCGGCGACGACCACCTCCAATAAACATTTTCCATCAACATTGACCAAGACACATTCTGCGAGCTAGCAGCCATGCACCCCCGTTCCGAGTCCCCAAAATCCCGTGTTGGGTCACTCCGCCCTGCATTGTGGTGCGATAGCGGTGTTCCTGGCAGCCGTAGTTCGGTTCCCCACGGCAGTCGCGTCCCTCCAAGCGCGCCGGTTTGGCGATCCCGATTACACCACGACAGGGCTTCCGCGCAGGCTAACATC